AGCCGGAACTCTGCACAACCGCCACACATGGCGCCTTGTACTTTGCAGGGTTGTACTCTTTCCAGCATATTCTGCGAGGTCGTCTTGGGCCTTGCCGACGTACGTGACTTTAGTGAACGCATCCGAGAGTCGAATCATTTCGTCTTCACCCAGCTTGGTGATGAGGGGGTTGTCTTCCGGAACAAACTTTGCCATGAGGTCTTTCACCGTCTTGACCGTAATGGTTTCCGCAAGATCGACCGTCACGTCTGGGTACTCGTATACGATTCTGATCTTCACCTCCAAGCATCCCTTAAATTCTTGCTGAGAGACCCGGAGCCCCGCGTCGCGATATTTTTTCAAATACTTATCGATGCGAAGAGGCTTCTTCTCCAGTGCTCCCTCGTTGCCTTCCTTCGCGTCCCCCAGTTTCGCGCTCAACTGAGTGAAGACGCTGTCGTCCACGAATGCGGCTATCTCCTCGACTCCAGGCTGGAGATCCGACTGGCTCGCCATGTCCAGCAGCCTCTCGTATTGTGGGGCATGCTGACGAGTCCGCCACTTCAGATATGCGGATAGATGTCATGAACCTCCCCGTGTGGGTTCATTTAGTTTAACTATTAATAGAGGGTGTGTCACTTTAGGACAAGTCGAGCGGCAGTGTTGACTTCTCTTTAATGTAGACCACATATTCGCTTTAATTGGACATAATCACTATGTAGTTTCTGTTTTTATTGGACAAAAGTATGTAGGCGCACATCTCGCCAGGTTTATTATAATAACACATATTGTACTTTTTGGCACTTCAGACTGTATTTGTGCTTTGCAATGATTTTGGCAATATGAGGCGAGATTTGCTGTATTATTACGACCACCTGCTAGATTTACGATAAATCGAGGTGCATAAATGGGTGGAGGCCTAGAATTACGCTAAAAGCGCCATAATTGCACTTTCAAAAGTGCAATTGTGGCTGTGCAGCTGCAATTCTGTCGGTTTTTATCCACAAGCACCTACACACACGGCAATTATGCATAAGAGGGTGGATGTGCTGGGGATCATGGACGGTGGTGTACTGGACCAATGCATGGCTGCTGACAGGCCCTCCCAAGTCGATATATATATGAGGAGGTGGATTTATGCATAATTTTAGCAGGCCGTGTATCTTCTTTCACACATATTTAGGAGCAGGCTTTGCCATATTTAGCGTCTAAAATGGTCGGCAAAATAACTGCAAAGCACAATAACTCGTACGACTTATCGAGCACGACTATAAATCGTACTCGAGTACGAATTGCTGTAAGTCGTGGATGGTCAATCACTTGTGTCGAGCATTCGTAAGACAGTTTGACGACAAATCAAATGTAGCAATTTCATTGGTTAATATTGTATTATGTAGTTTTGAGTGTTGCTGCATCTCGGCTCGTAAATTGGACTGATTCATCTGTGTGCGCATTTTGCCCCCTTTACTAGAGGCAGCGCACTTGAAAAATGTCCGGGCTTTTGATCCTGACGCCATGCACTAACCTCCTGCTAGAAGATTTAAATATACTTGCCAGGAATGGAATGTAAGGACATCATAGCACAGTTATCATGCGACAGTTATCATGCGACCGTTTGTTCCCGTAGTGGAGCAATGTTTCTTCGCTTTACTGGG